TACAATTTCTCAAGCGATCTAATTTTTTTTTTCTTTTCGAATGATAAATTATATAAAACCTGTCCGAAATCGTTTTTATATAATTTATATAAATTTTATATAATTTTATATAATCGTTTTATATCTTCCTTGATTTGCTCTTTGCCTGTGGCAGAGTCCTGTTACGAGACATAGGGTCTTCCAGCAGCCACGCTCTTGACCCAAGGCATTACTAACTCTCCAATTCCCATGAAGTAGGTCTCTGTGTTGAGTCTGAGGCGATCACTAACAAATTCTGGAGTTCTTTTATTATCACAAGAGTGATTTTTACCTTCGTAATAGCCATTAGAGTCATCAAAAACATTAAGAATCCTCTGCACTGTCCTAATATTGACATCGTTCGTATTGGAGCTTCCGGTGAGAATGCCAAGCAATAGAGCATGACATTTCCAAATCTCTGATAGAGTGAATTGTATCATTGTTGTTCTTCTCACAGACAGTGCCAAACTAAGCCTATTATACTCTGCAGTCCACAAAATTAAAATCAAATAACACATATGCGTGAAATTAGAAATATTAAATGGCGACTATGTGTGTATTTATATTAATTATTATTTCTTAACTGCATTTGTGCATATCAATTCTTGTTGTTATGTTTCCGTGTTCGGAGAAACATCAACTTTTCAAGGGTCTGTTGTTTAAATAAATATATTTTCGATTTTTCTGCGCTTTTGTGCATTTTAATTTTTTGCGTCTTTTTAATTCCGTTCTGCACATGCGCACGTTCATGAGTTTTACGTTTGTTTACGTGTTCGTTCATAAATAATAATGTTCCAATTGGAAATATCTGTCATATTATGTTACAGATTTCAATTGCAAAGTAAATATTAACGTAAGAATGTAAGAACGCTGGAAAAATAAATAAATATATATATATATATATATATATATATATATATAAGAAATTTTGAAAAACAAACAAAAATCCTTAAATGTAGTTAAAATGAAAGAAATGTCGACGTCTGACGTTTCGGTTTAATAAACCTTTTCAAGACAATATTCATCAAAATATTCAATATGACAAATACGATGGACATAAAAAAACACAAGTCTTATTCCGAACAGATAACTGAAAATTTTTAAAATGATCAGCCTTGATGAATATTGTCTTGAAAAAGGTTTATTAAACCAAACACACACGTCGACACACACAACTACATTTAAGGATTTTGTTTGTTTTTCAAAATTTCTTCATTCTGTCGGATTTATATCCATTTATATATATATATATATATATATATATATATATATATATATATACACACACATATATATATTTAAATATATATTTATATATTTATACACACACACACACACACACACACACACACACACACATATATATATATATAAGCAATATCTGTATCAATAAAATTATTTTTTAATTCGACGTGTTTGTATAGAAATAATTTTTATCCACCTTGTTAAAATTCAATCGTAAGTTAGAAAACCTACAGCGTTCGTAATAGTAAGCATTATTGTTTTATGATATTTCACGTTATAACAAATTAGTTGCAAAGGTGTGTAAAACTAATTATGGAATTATCTAAATACATCAAAATCATCTGCTTATGCATATTTCCTTTAAATTATACCGAATTATATGTAGAAGTTATAAATACTAAGTTTACTGAATAAATGGTTATTTTTATTATGTTTCTTTCATGGTCTTCTCAATGTAACTATAGCCAAAGTAGGCATTTAAAGTAGATTAGGCTTAATGACAAAAGGGATTTTAAGAAATAGATTTCTTGCTGAAAATGGTGTTCATACAGAAATTTAAAGAGATAAGAGCACATCCATAACAATGTTCATAGAAGGGGTCATCGGCAAGTACAAATGGAAAATGAACCCTACTAGCCTATGTTTATAAGGTAATATTTTACAATCTAGAACACTGAAGATAATAATACATGTTAAATGAACGTTATTGATTTTTTACGGCTTAACAACACTTTGTAGGTTATATAAATCCTAATTATATTTTTGATCAAAATATTTTTTATTTTTTTACGAGCAAACATGGCATTAACCATAATTTTTCCAAGTACAAATATTTAATCCATAGCTGGAGTAAAGGACTAATAAACAACAACAATATATAATAATGGTCAGTCGTCATACAAAATGCTGGCGTCCTGTGTAAGACGATAAACTACATCCAACAGAAAGGCCTCTGATCAATAGGTTTTGTGGAGCGTGGAACCACCACTTAATTGCTGGTGTTCCCAGGACCACCCTGACCCGGGGTGGTTACACCTTGTTATAACATAGAGAATGTTATCGAATAGAATAATCACACGAAGGTTGGTAATGAACGACAATACTTAGAAGAACAACACATATAATAGTGGCGGGTAAAAGTAGTAGTCAACTGCTAGTAGTGAGTCAAGTGAATTCCACAATGAATCTCCAACTGGAGACCAACATACAGTATTTACTACTGTATTTCCGTGAATGGGGACATACACATTATCGTCCGTAGGTATGCTACAACACAACTGTTAGGGTCCCAAATATTGGAAAATAGTTAACCAACAAAATAGAGTTTAATACCAGCAATACATTTTTGTAAAAAAAATATTACACCAGCAATGAATTTTTGGAGAAAAAAAATTATTAACAGCAATACATTATTAGCAGTAATACATTTTTGGAAAAAGATATTACCAGCAATAAAAATTATGGCGGCATTGAATAACCCATAGATGTTGATATGCCGTAAACCAAAACAAACAAAATGTTGAATATGCTTGTTTTTTACATTAAAACGAAAATACATTTCCTACGATTTATTTCTTCCAGAGGAACAGGCGATTGATTCGAAAATGTACTGCTCCCAGTTAGAATAGTTGAATGGAGCAGCCAAAGATATAATTAACAGAGATGCACAGTCGTCCATAATTTAAGATTAAATTGCATTATTTGTTGTTTACCTCGAAGCTCACCATATTTTTTTTTGGTTTTGTCAAGGAAGTAAATACGTGATAAATAACACTGCTCAGAACCAATGGAAAGTGGCTGGAAACCATACCGCAGGTTAACTTAAGCCTTGCGATGGAAATAAGTGAAGTTGGCTAGAAAAAATATTTCAGGATCCTAAGCACGAAGGCCCAACACCTCACGAATGAGGATTCGAGTGTACTGTTTTTATTCAACACCCGATAAGGCCAGCTCATGCATTATAATTGAGAAAATGTAACTACAATTCAATCAGAAATGGTGTAATATTAAGTTGTTTCCGTGGGCCTGCATCATAGATTAGTTAGCTATCGTAGCAAAATGCTATGTTCGGAATCGAAAGGCCAGCAATTGTATTGTTTATAAAAATACTAGATATATTGATGGGTTGATATTTTTGTTTAATGGCATGTTAACTCGTTATGGGTCATTTAATTCTAATTTTCTTGGGAGCTTTGAATTAATGAAATATATAATATGTTATTCTGCTTTCACAATTGAATACATGGTAGATGATACCCAGCTTTTGTGCATATAGATATTTGTGTGGACAGGATTACAAGAGGCAGTGACACGTGTGTTTTATGTTGTAGGGTGTTTTTTTGTCTGGAATACAGTTTGATTTAAGAAATTGTAGGATATTATATGGATGTCATGAAAGAGTTGGTTGTTTGGGTGATAGTTTAGCGGCATATCAACCTTTACGAGTTATTTAATGCAGAAACCTAAATATTGATTTGAACACAATTTTACGGCTTCGGCTAAGTATATTTTGAACGCAGCTGCATGCGTTTATCTGCATATAAAATGCATTGTTGATAATTCTGCTATAAAATGTATTGTTGAACACTTTGCTTTCAAATGTATTCTTTAAGGATTTTGATATGAGATGTATGGTTGACCATTTTGCTATAAAATGTATTGCTAAACACTTTGCTTTCAAATGTATTGCTTAAGGCTTTAGCTATGAAATGTATGGTTGACCATTTTGCTATAAAATGTATTGTTAAACACTTTGCTTTCAAATGTATTCTTTAAGGATTTTGCTATTAAATGTATGGTTGACCATTTTGCTATAAAATATATTGTTGAACACTTTGCTATCAAATGTATTGTTTAAAGATTTTGCTATGAAATGTATGGTTGACCATTTTGCTATAAAATGTATTGGTGCTCATTCTACAATAAAACTTCTATTATTGGCAATTCTTTTCATATAGAAAAGGTATTACTGGTATTTACACTACAAAAATATATTCCTACACTTGCATCGAGCTTTGTTTTTGTTTAGGGGTTTCACTAAGACCCTTTAACAGTTGCAACGAGACTCGGTCAGGCTTGAGCTCGGTACAACAGCAATTGCAGGTCCTTCTTTTTTATATATCCTTTCAGGGCGTAGGCGATCATGACTCTCCACCTCTCTCTAACCTTTTCAGCTCTTAGCAAGCTCCTTCCCTCTGCTTCCTCCCCAGATCACGTTCTGACATACACCTGCTTTCCCTTGTCTCTCTTTTTCTCTATTTGACCAGTGAGTATCAGATTCTCTAGGCCTCCTTCCTTATTATGTATCCCAGAAACTTAAAAACACCAATCTCCGAATCAGAGGTTTTACTGCCAGATGTTGTTTATCGTCCAGCCAAGGATTAAAAGATATTGTAGACACAATAGTTTACGGAGAGCTAATAGTTTGTGTCAATCATTGATATTAAAAAAATCAGAAGTTTTCATGGTATGTATATTATAAATGAGTAAGAATAAATTAATTTTTTGTACTGGGGTGGGGTGGGGGTTGAAATATTACAGAATCGCCCATCAAACCTGATACTGAAAGCCTGAGCTCCTACTCTAATGTTGCGGCCTGACTATTTGAGTAGAATTAATTTTGTATTTCACATTGAATTCTGACCCTTTGGCTTCCACATTTATTTTACTTTTGTTTATTTGCTTTTTTTTATCCTACACATCTCAGAAAATGACCCTAACACACAGAGACTTTTGCGTCATTCCTTCCTGTTCCGGTGACAGCCATTTTTCTTTTTCACATCCTCATTGGAACTAATCATTGAAGAGGATGTGGCACGCACGCGCAGCATTTCACGGGCCGGTGACAAGCGACGCCACTGGCACGCAAAGCAAACATAACCCAAGGTACATCACTCTGTTAAACATAATGCTCTCTTTCGGTATTTTTTTCTTTTTTCTTTTTTTTGTAGTCCTATTTTTTTGCTTAAATAAACGACGTATATTTGTTGTGCTAAGAAATTAGAAGAGAAGATTCGCCTTTAAGGAGAATAATTTTCTTTTGCATTATTATTTTTTTTTGTTTTTTTGTTTACATTTTTTTTTTGTTTTCTCAATCAAGCCACTATTATTGACGTTTTCATTCATTATATTTGTTTTGTTTGTTTGTTTAATTTTTTTTGCTCTTATTCTCGAATGTTTTTCCCCGTATTTCTCTCTTACATTTCTTGCATACATTGTTTTGAAGTAAGAAGAGCAAGAGAGAAAAAGAAAGCAGGAAAAGCCAGAGAGAAAGAACAACCCAAGAAGAATGAGAGAGAGAAAAAAAGTCAAGAAGAGCAAGAGAGAAAAAGAAAGCCACAGAGAAAAAACAAAGCAAGAGAATCCAGAGAGAAAAAAAGCAAGAAGAACCCGAGAAAAGAAGAAAGAAAGAAGAGCAAGGTAAAAGAAGAAAGAAAGAAGAGCAAGAGAGAAAAAGAAAGGAAGAAGAGCAAGAGAGAAAAAGAAAGCATGAAGAGTAGCAGAGAAAAATACCGTAGGGAAGCCAATAGAGAAACTGACATCAAGAAGAGCAATAGAGAAAAACAATATAAGAAAAAGAAAGAAAAATAAAACAAGAACAGCAAGAGAGAAAAAGAAAGGAAGAAGAGCAAGAAAGAAAAAAAGAAGGGCAAGAAAGAAAATGAAAGAAAGAAAGAAGAAGAAGAAGAAGAAGAACGAAGCAAAATAAAGAAATAGGGGAGAGAATCTGCTTGCTTTTAACGAAATGCGCCCAAATATATGCCGAATATTATTTGCAACCTGCGCGGCCAGTTGTGGAGTCTCTTTTGCGTTAAAAGAAAGGCTGAGATGCTAAATTCTCTTAAACCTTGTTTGGTAAGTTCCGGCAAATCTATTCGTAAAGATTTCATATATTTCTAAGAAAATTTTTGCAGCCATGGCAGCAATGGTTTGACTAAGTTTATATAGCCTGATGGAGCACATCCCTCTTCTGGCTGGTTTTAAATCTAGAGTTTTCCTTATCCTACACTGGTTGTCGCTTTAAGGCAAGACAACACAGCACATTATGCTATTTATCCCATAACTGGAAGAGATGGATTCATGTCTTTTCCAAAGTCATTAGCGAGATATAAAGGAAACAGTACTGAGCACGAGTTGAAATCGGCATGCCCAATTTAGTTTCGCTGCCGATATTCATTACTCCAACCCTTAAGCTGGTTAATAGCCTGGCCAGTTCATAATAAGCGAACTGGAAAGAAATAACATCGACATTACAATAGATTTACTTTTCTTAGATAAGCAGCTATTTCCCACCGGACCTAGCTGTCTTTATTTATGCTTAAGTTACGTGCGTAAGGTTGGTTTATTTATAACATAGATCAACCTATGTTGCGTTATTTAATGTCGAATTTTGTCTGGAATAATTAAGCAAAGATTGAACTTACGACTCAGTCGTAATCGTCAACCAGATTAGTCCCGGTAATTGCGTCAGGTTGCAGCCATATTAATTTCTAACGAAGGCTGCCAACTCAGAAGGCTGGTGCAACACCTTCTTCCTTTATTATTTCCTCTGTTTAGATTGATTTTCTTTTCAAGGCTGCAAGTAACTGTGTCTTTTTAAACCTAGTACGAGTATTCCAAATGTCTGGTTGATTGATGGACGCTTGAATCAATTATTTAAAAAAAAAATTACCTTTATAACACTTTCTTTTTTTTTTCTCCTTGCAATCAGTGAGCTAGACAAAAATATTCAAATTGATAACAAATCTCAAAACATTAGGAATCATTTAAAATAAATCCACATATTTTTTTTTTTTATATTCTATTTGATTTTGGGAATACATTGTATCCGTTTAAACTGTTTGATCCTAGCATCTTTTGCAGATAACGAAAAAAGATAAAGTTAAGTTGATCAAGGAAGCTTCCCCTCGGGAATCTGTTCCACAAAATATTTGTTCTTTGGAAGAAGTTGTCCGAGTGAAACTTTGTTCTTACCAATGGAATAAGAAGGGGATTGGCATGATTCGTATTAGATCACGTGACATGACGACTGTTAGCTTTAAAGATCTAAACTGGTGGCCCTCGTCACAATACATTCTATTGAAATAGTGCTTGATTAGTAAGAGGATTGCGGCATTTTGTCTGGGGGAAATGGGTTTTAAATTGAAGTTACAACCGAGATAAATAATCCTCCATTTTGCGTTTGATCGTGTAAAGGTAGAGCATGGCAAAAAAAAAAAAATCATATACTTTCTGGAGAGGTACAATAACCCGACATTTTTCCAGCATATCCAACGCTAGATATTATGGTGATTTTCTAAGCGTAGCTTAGATGTGACACGGCCGTAAGTATAGATGATTGAATTCACTATTGTCGTAATAAATCGAGCGAGACAAGCTTCCTAATCCTTTACACAACGTCCAGATTCCCCTAGCGGTAGATAGCATATACGTGTTCCACTTAAGGTCCTGGGGTGAAACTGACCTCCCACTAGATGTTCAAGGCAATGTGTCTCACTGCAAGTGAGCTATTCATTTTGAGTAAAAAAATAAAAATATCAGGATTTGCTTGGTGAAAACGAAACGTTACGAGCTTACTTTAGGGGGTATTGAATGTTACAAGCTAGCTTCCCGCCGACATTGAGCACCCCAAACTCGGTCAGAGGAGAGACCAGCTACCAGATTCTGGTCACCTGGATTTGTTTTGAGATGCAGTTGTGTTCATAAATAGTTTTCCAAGTATTTGAAGCAGTTTATATGCGGTATATTATCAAGTGCTATTGACTAAACTATGAAATAGGGGCTTACCACCATATCCCGTTGAAACATCGAATATCGTTTGATCACCGAATTTACGCGACGGCGAGCCTGGTCACTATCTAGATGGGACAACGCTTAGGAATACTAGGCATTGTAAGCGTAGGTGTGCGGATGGTGTAATCGTTAACGGTTTGGAATTGTAAACCGAGTTTCAATTCCAATCGTGTAAGTTATAGTCACTTACGCTCAAATGCCTTTCTCCGCCCAGCTATGGGTTAAATATTGGAACCTCTATCAGTAAATCATTATTATTGTCTCAAAAAAAATTATGGCAATCTATCTAAAATAATTTCTGGCTTTAAATAACCTGCAAAGGTTTGATAAGCGGTAAAGTAATCGAATAATAAATCTATAAAATAGGTATAGATTTTGCGTATTTTTATTCTTTCCCCCGAAGTGATTCTGCTACAATGTTACCATGTCTTTTCCCAGTATATTATTTTATAAAAAACTAAGAATATATATATTTTTTCCTAAAGACCAAGTATCTACATAGTGTACATGCTTGTGCAATGCCAACTCACCCTTTTTTCTATCTTAGAAGGAATTATACAGATTGTTTCAATTGAATTTTGGTTCTATGTGTTTAAATGTAATTCCAGGAATGGATCTGTGAAAGCAGTTTGCTTGGTCACTATTTTCTGTTGACACATTCAAATCAATCACCTTCTGAAGCTGTGCACTTTGTAAGACGATGATGACATTGCTGGTAACATTCAGTAATGCAGTCACGTGTGACTGCATGTCAGAGATGTCAGTAAATGTTTTTTTACTTTTAGGGCAGTTTTCTATTTTGGAAATGGGAAAATTTCGCAGCTTTCGGGGCTAATCTAGGATATAAGAAGGATGGGTCATTTTTGTAATGGACATATTAGCTAGGAAATCGTGATTACTTCATGCATCATACAGAGGGGAATTATCATGGCGAAGAATCCACTTGCCCACCAAGAGTTCAACACTTTTCCATCTAACGGATTATTTTAACCACTTCCGCACTTCCAAATACACATGTTCATTGACAATTTGTTGTTGTGCTAAGAATTTATTGTAAACTATAACCTATAGAGAAACAAAAGTGCCCTTGGGCTACGAGATATGGATCCATTATTTTGCCAACCTAAATTCTTTGTCACCCCCTCCAGCTCTGGATTTTTGTTTCCAAGTCGTATTAAAAAACATAGGTTATGAACCTGTCAAAATATTCATGCATTATTCATAAAATCAAATGAAACGTAAAGCTGATTTACTTTTTGCTCTTGAGTGAAGATATGGGACTCCATTTTTTATTTATTTTTTTTTTTTTACATGAGGACTCTTTTACGTATCTTTGTTGCAATTATCACAACATTTCAGACGTTGTGCACTACGGCCTTCATCAGGATACCGGCATGTGGGCTACGAATTGGAGATGCGAAAATTAAGCTAGTAGGAAAACTTAAATATTATGGGAAGGGTTCCAACACAGGACGAAAAAATGTGACACCGAAATCCGAAGCCATATAGCAATATAGGATTTTAATTGTACTAAGTATGATAAAAATATTCCCTACATAATCTTAGCAAAGAGACAGGAAAATGAGATTAGAAACAAAGAAAAAGACGTCTCAACTTCTATGCCATGCCAAGCTTCCAATATGGCAGTAAATGCTGGCTAAATACCTCACAGTTGTAAAGAGACTTGTGGTAACAGTGATATCACAGAAAGATGCTGAGTATCCCATAAACCGAGTCTGTGAGCAACGATGAAGTTTTATGAAGAATTGCAACTAAAAGACGTATGTACTTAGAACCAGAAAGCGGAGGCTGAAATTTCTATGATACACAATGAGGAAGGTGCTCTTGGAGAACTTGACACATAGAAAATATTGAAGACAAGGGTGGGGGCAGTGGGAAACCTTGGCAACTTAGGTAAATGGATGATAAAACAGGGTGTGAGAGGTGTAGCAAAAATAGAATGGTTGATAAAAGCTACAAGGAGTAGGAACTTGTTAAGAGACATGAGAGATCACGTCCTGAAGAGACCCGATACCTAGAAGTGTATGTCTTTGTTCGGCAGGAAAGAAGTTAACGTAACGGGCGGTCTGAATGTCTTGTCACCCTATACCAAAAAGTAATGAGAAAAATAGAAGGATGAGTAATACAGTAATACAAAACACATGTACGGGATTCAGTATATTCGCTGTCATTGACGCTGTCACACATCAAGATGGTCTGTATGAACACTATCATTTTCGTGTCAGCCATCTAAAATATAAAATTATATTATATAACGGTGACAAGATTTTCAGACCACCCTGTATATCACTCTCGTAGTATAGTATTGCTACGAGGATGATTTGATAAGATTCTCGTCTCCGTGTACAGTAGTAAAATTATTATTCAGTTAGTGAAAGAAAAAAAAAACATATCAATAGAAAGAATATGATTTTTTTTTTTACCTTAGATTTTGCACAGACGACAGAGATAATAATTTCCTCTGTGGCTTAAACATAACAAGTCAACAGTTAAAAATATCAGTTACTCTTTGCTTTCGTTTTGAAGAAACAGTCATTTCAAACAGAATTGCCGATATCGTAATGGTAATGGCAACTCGTTCTGGGTATGATGATAAACTACATCCGCATCGTGGGTATGACGATAAAACTACATCCGACAGCAGAGCCCCTGATCAGGAGGTTTTGAAGAGCGTAGAACCACCTCTTAATTGTTGGTGTTCCCAGGTCCACTCTGACCCAGGGGGCTAACACTTTTTAAGGTCCTAGCTGTGGGCAAATAGTTAACCCACAAACTCTGGTCAAAACACTATCAAAGTATAAAACTGTTTTATTACCAGAAATACTTTTTACCAACAATATATTTTCGGAAAATATATATATTACCAGCAATAAAAATTGTCGGTATTAAATGTCCTATGGAGGTTGATATGCCGTAAAATAAACCAAACCAAACCAAACCAAATTAATGGCAATATTAACTCCGGCGACCCCTCTGACCCTTCCAACTA